CAGATTAACAAAAAGTCTAAGTTGTTTAAGACCATACCTTAAAATAAATTTTATTTCAATTACAATGGCCTGCCAATTACCTATTTATTTACTTTATTTAATGATGATCCAAATTATTTTGGGCATCAGCATCAGAGGAACTGAACACTTTTGTTGTTTTTACCATATTGAAAGACAGCTAAAAAATGGTGACAAAATCAACTGATGTCATCTACAGGTAGTAACTAAAACAGGACTAACCTAAAATGCTCATTAACACCAAGAAAAACAGAAGTGTATTAGTAAAGAAGAAAAAACTTAAACACTTGATTAGAAATTAAGACACTATGTAATGTTATTTTAGTTGAATAGTGGACAGATTTACCAATAGTATAGGCATGAAATAACTGCCAGAACATCCAATCCACAGTATTAGAAATGATATTGTGAATTGATCACGCAAAGAGCTTTTCAAATGCAGCAACAGAACAATAAAGAACGGCACTATCTGGGACTTAGAGTGTTTCTCATAAGTGTGGAGACATAAAAATAAACAAAAAGTTGATATCATCCCTTGGTAATAACACCAAGAACTTGCGCTGATAAATGTCGTCTCCTGACACGCAAACATATGTCCAAAGAGACGGCATCATCGTTGTGTCGATGACACCTCCACGGTCACAGACAGTGCTCCCTCAGAAGTTTTATCTCTCAGGGACTCCCTGCTGCCCGTAGCTAATCTTTCTGCTCTCTGAGCTAATTGTTAGTATGACCTTTGCAAGATAACACACACCCAGAACAGCAGATGTGATGGGATGAGGATCAAGGCTTTATGGTGTTCTGTTAGTTTTTAATGATGATAGTCAACCCTTAAGCCCTGTGAGGCATAAATTAAATAAGCAGTCTCTCCTTGTTTTTTTAATTAAAAATACATTCATAACAGGCATTTTATTTCAACAAAGTGCAAATGAAGAAAAGCAATAAGAGGATAATGCGTGCTTTCATGGTTTTTTGATTAATCTGGCAAAGGTTTTCCTTGATTCAGCAATGATTCATGGAGACAGGGTCACAGAGTTCATTCTGCTTGTCCAAAAGTTGCTGTAAACCATCCATATGTAGAAGCCAGTAAAGGTCAGCATAACTCAGTCAAAAGCGTATTTTCACACAGACAGGCTGACATTCTGTGCTGGTGTAATGGTTTCTCTAAAATGACCCTTTTGTGTGTTTGCATGGGTGAGTGTCTGGGGTCTTGTAAATGAGTGGCTGACGTTACTAGACTTGCCACGTGCCAAAGGAGCCCTGCTGTGCTGGTTGTGGTCTACTTATATAGTGAGTGGGTGTGTTATGTGTTGCTTTCAACTGAGGCTATCCCTCTGTGTTTCTGTTAAATGCTATTTCTCTTGACTGTTTATGTTCTTCTATTTCCTACTTTCTTTCTGCCTTTCCATTTTGTTTTCTCTGCCCTCCCTTCATCTGTCTTAAGGGTTAAGGTCTTCCCAAATGAAAAACAGCTCTTGAGTTTGTGTACAGTAATTTAAAAAGACTGTACGTCATATTGTTTTAAGCCTTACAAAGTCAACAATAGGCGAAGCAATGCAAGGCAATGTGTTGCACATTTCAGTACAGACTCTATTTAAATGCCAAGAATCAACAGAACATAAGAAAAGAAAACATCCAGAGAAAAGTTCATATCAGTGACATAATAAAGGCAGGTAAAGAAAAGTTGGACTACAAAATTAAATCAGTTATGTTTCATTTAACAATTTAGAAATAATAGTCAAATGCAACTTAGCAAAAATAAATAAAAAAACTTTATGTCAAGCATCTTATGATGTTAGCCATTTTACAGTCTTGTGGGTGTTTGTTCTAGATTAATGAAGTATAACAACTAAATGCTGCTTCTCCAAATTAGGTTCTGGGTCTATTTATGAAGGGTGGATTTTAGGCAGAAGACCTGAGATATCTGGGCAGTTGATGCACTGACAAGTCTTTAATGTATTTTGGTCACCCAGTGATTTATAGACCAACAGAAGTATATTTAAGTCTACTCTCTAAGAAATGAAGGGTAAAACCTTCAAACTGGGGGCATGTACTACAAAAGATGAATGCATGAATTAGTTTTTCAATATGCTGAGACATTAGTCCTTTAATCCTTCTTTTTCGATTGAAGACGACTTTGTTACTGTCTTTAACAAAGGTTGAGGTCCCAGTTCATAACTAAACCCGGATTTAGAGCCTGATTGGCAGTTCTTAGCTTTAATAACTAAAGCTGTGTGCTAAACTTTAAATGCTCTTCCTTTGGTCTTAAAATTGCAACTTCAGTATGGAGCCGAAGAAAATGTTGGCATATTGACCCATTGATTTCTTCTATGCATTTACCCAGTGCTTGAATGGGTTCTCCTGGACCCTGGTGACATTATGACATATATGTGTGCGTTATCTGCATAGTTATGATGACATATATGGTTGTTTAATAAGATCTCAGTTAGAGGGAAAATATAGAAATTAAATAGGAGGGACACCAAGATAGATCCTTGGGGAACCCCACTTGTTAGTTTGGTGGTCTTTGATACAAAGTTAGCTACTGAAACAAAAAAAAGCCCGGTCCCTCAAGAGGATTTAAATAAGTCAATTGCTGGTGCTTAATGGCCAACCATGAAGAAGAGTGATCATTGGAGATGTTTCGTTTGTCAAATAAAAGTTGTCTTCAATTAATATCTAGGGACAGGAGTGTCAGTCTTGCAAGCTGTAGTCAGAGCAACCAAATTGAAAAGACTTGAGAATGTGATCTTTGTTGCTACACTTTATAAACCTGATTTTTTTTTTTTTTTTTTTAAGATCTCTGGACAGCCATGAATAATGATCTGCTGGGGTTGATGTTGACCTTCCAGCAGAACAGTTATTCTAAACAACCAGTCTGAGCTACAACAAGATGGTTTAGATCAATGGGGTCTGATGTCCTGAGTCCTCAAGGGCTGGACCCCTGCATGTTTCAGACATACCACAGATTAAATGATTGTAGTTCGAGGCTCCTGGTTTAAATCAGTGAATGCTCATATGTTAGAATGGCCCAGTCAAAGTCCAGACTTAAATTTAATTAGGCATCTCTGGCAAGGCTTAAAGAATATTCTTACAGTCTCACTGAGGCCATATTTACACACCAATGTTTTTTTTTTCTTTTTCATTTATTATTTTATTGAACATTTTTGAAAAACAAATATTAATTTCCCCTGTTTATTTACATGGCATTGGCATATATTTCCCCTTGAAATGAAAATTTGAAAACAGAATGGAGACTTTAAAGATTTCAAAACATCGAAGACTCCTTTGTTACATAGACAGGGCAAACAGAACCGATTTAATACTTCAAATCATACATTAGAAAAAGCTGATGGAAACCCACCTAATGAGTCTCCAACAAAGTTCTCACTTCTCCCCTGCTTTATAAGCAAGAAGTGTTTGAAAGTGTTGTTAAGTTTCAAAGACCTTACTGCCAACTGTTGGTGCAGCGAGGAATTCTCACAATTTTCATGCTTGTGCCATTTATACAAAGACTGTTTTTAAAATGTTGTCATGAGGATTTGGTAAAAGAAAACTCCCCAAAATTGCATTTTCAGTGGAATGTTGTATATACAGGGTCTGAGTTTGAATTGTTTTTTTAAAGAATAGTCCCTTGGTGCACAAATCTGTTTAGAGAATTGGGGGCTACAGGCAAATGCATGCCAAATTTTTCAGATTAATTGAATTTAGTGTTAAAAAACAAATATGTATTTGACAGACACTTCTGTCATGCAAAAGATTTGAACATTTTAAGGGATATCAATACAGTTGAGGGAGTGTAAATAACCTTATGCATAACCTGCCTGGATGATTCCACTGCATGTTTTTTGTATTAGATTCACTATATGCACACATGGAAAAGTGCCCTCATTTATTGCACCTAAATCACGCTCAGATTGTTGAATTATGTTGCAAAAAGAGGCACCCTACCAAGTCACGGACTCGGTAGCGTCGGACCTGAAGGTTAGTGAAGGATCTAATTTTCCTATAATAATGTTTATAAGAAATCACAGAAGGGAAGAAGCACTCATGCAGCATTAAATGACTTAAGAGATCTTGTCTCCTTCTTCCCACGGAGATAAAAACAGATGACATCAGAGGGTGGTCCGCTCTGCCTTGAGCCGAGTCAAGCCACGCAGAGTGGGTCTCCTTGTTCTGCCAAACAGATGTTGGTAGCAACGTAAATGAGGGCTTGAAGCGGACCTCCTTAGTTTCAGCTGAAGTCTTTTTTTCCTTTTTTGTCATGTAGAAGGATCAGAAACAAAAAGAGGACAAAGGTCTTATGACAACATTCATAAAACAAACAGTTATCCCACAAAAGGCTTTTGAGACTTTACTGTAATCACTGTCTTTCTTGAAATCATCAATTTTCTCTTGAATGTTGCTCATATCAATCAATACTGCATTCTACTGCTCTCTGTGGGATAGTTGGCCACAGTAACTGGCTTGCTGGTTAATTAGGTCAAGAAAACATGTAATGTGTGCCCACCCACATTAAAAGAGACACCCAACAATTGGATACTCTCAACTGTGCAACATTTAGACAAGCATTCTGGGGCGAGGGAGCAAGCAGGCAGGAGAGAAGGAAAAGAAAGACAACTTCATTCATTACCTGTGTTTGTGCTGAAAGGGGAAAGGGATCACGTTGTATTACATAGGTTAATACTGAGCAAAGCACAATAAACCCACTACACTAGGTAATAACGGAGATACATTCGACACAAAATACACTGTACTGCTAGTTCGTCTGATCTGAATTTTAGAACAACCTTTTTGGTCACATAGTAAAATGTGCCTATGTGATTGTGTTTTTAATAACATGCCTAATGCACAAAATAAGGACACACATTCTCCTTTAGATATTTAGATCTCATTGAAGAGTGATTGATATGCTGTCATCTTGTTATCTATCACCTTTCCTATAACCCATAATAAACATCCTATCTTCTGTTTGCTCATAGATGAAGTGCCAGAGAGTCCTAACCTACCTGAGGATATTCGGGACCACTATGTTTGGGGTGTCTCTCCTGGTGGGAATCTCCACAGCCTACATCATGGGCTATCAGTTCTTCACCACAGCCCAAAATCATCTATCATTTGGCCTGTATGGTGCTATCTTGGTTGTTCATCTCATCATCCAGAGTCTCTTTGCACTCCTGGAGCACAGAAATATGCGGCGCTCCTTGGAGACTCCGATCAAACTGAACAAGTCCTTGGCATTGTGTATAGCAGCCTATCAGGAGGATCCAAATTACCTGAGGAAGTGCCTGGTGTCAGTAAAGAGGCTGACATATCCAGGGATCAAGGTGATCATGGTGATCGATGGGAACTCAGATGATGACATGTACATGATGGAAATCTTTAAGGAAGTAATGGGATGGGACAAGTCAGCGACATATGTGTGGAGGAGTAATTATCACATCAAAGGTCCAGAAGAGACAGAGGAGAGCTATGCTGAGAGCCTCCAACAAGTCTCCAAACTTGTGCTCAACAATAAGTGTGTGTGCATCATGCAGAAGTGGGGAGGCAAGAGAGAGGTCATGTACACAGCTTTCAAAGCACTGGGAAGGAGCGTTGACTATGTACAGGTAAGGCTTAGCCATTGAAACAAGGATAGAAGGTATCAATTCAACAGATTAGCTTCACTGTACCAAACATCGGGTGGCAGTAAAAGAGGGAAACAGTGTAAATTAGACCAAGGGACATGCAGTCAACGGAAGCATACAGAAGGACATGTGGCAGGGGACAGGAAAAAAGGGGGCTGCGCAAAGCCAGACATGAGCTCCACAAAGAGCCTTTTGTGTTACTTTTAGCCAGACGGTGACTAGATGCATCATGTTGGGAAGTGAGGCATGACAAAGGGCAGCAGTAGCTGATGCTTAAGTATAACAGCGGATCATTTTCACAGGGTTCAGGCTTACATCACATAACCGACTATATGTGCAGAATTCTTAGATCAAACACCAAATCGGAAAGAGACAAATGATTGGCAATGGGATGTGTTGACTAACAAGTTTAACAGCAAAAGTTTAGTTTGGATGAAATAATAATAAAATACACTCTCTAAATCTTGTACTGGGTCTTTATTGGCAAGAAACTCTTAAAAAACAACAACAAAATAAAATTAATCAACTGAGTCTTTTTACATAATAATAAAATAATAATGATAATAATTTAACTTTTATTGATTTCACATTGGAGAAATTTACCTCTGCATTTAACCCATCCCCTTGGGGAGCCGTGGGCTGCCATTGTGTGGCGCCCAGGGAGCAGTGTGGGGTTAAGGGTCTTGCTCAGGAACCCTTAGTAGAGGCTGTGACAGAGCGCAAGCGCACTGCTCTAACCCACTAGGCCAACACTCCCCCTATCATTTATCTAGATTGTTAAATATTTTTGGAACATTTGATCACAATTGCAGACAAAATAAAAATTCCTGATAATTTATCAAGTGATTTCATTAATGCTAATAAAAATAAGGGCTTTGGGAAGTAAAGGTCCAACACCTGTAGCCTTCAAAACACTTGTTTAGGAGAGATTATAAAGTTCAGTGTTGCATTGCCAGAAGACCTGCCAGCCCTCTCCAGTGTTCAGGAATTAAAGAGAAAGCCCAGCACTCCCACTATCATCAGGTTCAGTCTGTAACAGATTCCTTTGTTAATGGGGATTTGGCGCCAAGTTTCTTTTTTTTCCATCAACTGATTTTCTTTGTCAGGAAAGACTTCCTTTTATGGAAGAAAATGGAGCAAGCATCTATAAAAGAGGGAGCAAGAGTGGCATTGATAGTTGAAAGCAGATCTTTAGTGGTTGATGTAAAGGATGTAGTCATTGGCAGTACTATTTATTTTAAGATTATGAAGATTGTTGCTTATCTGATGGAAAAAAACACAGTTAACCCAATGCAGGTTTTTTTGTCAGGTGTGTGACTCGGACACCATGCTGGATCCAGCATCATCAGTGGAGATGGTGAAGGTTTTAGAGGAGGACCCGATGGTTGGAGGTGTTGGGGGAGATGTACAGGTAGAGTAACAAAGCAAATTTTTCTTTTTGAGCATTTTACACCAAAAATACAAGTTAAATACTATATTTTAAACCTAATTACTGTTACTCTTCTGTAGATCCTAAATAAATATGAGTCATGGATCTCCTTCCTGAGCAGCGTTCGATACTGGATGGCCTTCAACATCGAGCGGGCTTGCCAGTCATACTTTGGTTGTGTTCAATGCATCAGTGGCCCTCTAGGAATGTACCGAAATTCTCTCCTGCATGAGTTTCTTGAAGACTGGTACAATCAGACCTTCATGGGATCCCACTGCAGCTTTGGGGATGACCGTCATCTTACAAACCGAGTTCTCAGCCTTGGGTATGCAACCAAATACACTGCAAGGTCGAAGTGCCTTACGGAGACACCTATTACATATCTGCGATGGCTCAATCAGCAGACTCGATGGAGTAAGTCTTATTTTAGAGAATGGCTTTACAACTCAATGTGGTTCCACAAGCATCATCTTTGGATGACTTATGAGGCTGTAATCACAGGATTCTTTCCATTTTTCCTCATCGCAACTGCAATCCAGCTCTTCTTCCAAGGACGACTTTGGAATATTTTGTTGTTTCTACTCATTGTGCAAGCAGTGGCATTGATCAAGTCATCATTTGCCAGCTGCCTCAGAGGCAACATTGTCATGGTGTTCATGTCCTTCTATTCAGTACTGTATATGTCAAGCCTGTTGCCAGCTAAAATGTTTGCAATAGCAACTATTAACAAATCAGGCTGGGGGACCTCTGGGAGGAAAACAATAGTGGTAAACTTTATTGGTCTGATTCCAATAACCATCTGGTTTACCATCCTATTTATTGGGTTTATTTACACTATTATCCAACAGACTAAAAAACCTTTTCCTCACTCAGAGGAGATTGTGCTCATCGTTGGGGCAGTGGTCTATGCCAGTTACTGGGTGATACTGTTGACACTATATGCCGTTCTTATAAACAAATGTGGAAAAAGGAAGAAAGAAACTCATTATGATATGGTGCTGGATGTATGACCTTAATTTAAGAAGCACCACTAACCACTGAACCAGTTTCAGTTTTTAAATTCCTGTTTACAAAAGTGTTTCCACTCATAACAACTCTGGTTGCAAATTGGTTGAATTCAACTACAACAAGCAAAGGAAGGGTCTAACTGTAACAGTTCAACTCATGATCATGGAGAGTTAAGTGTATAGGCTAACCAAACACCTTTGAAAACTTACAGTGGCATATTTGTCATTTTTTTATCAAAGTGGACTTAAAAGAGTGCTAGGCTTTTAATATTAGCTACCTCTTACTGCTGTCATATCCACTGGGCATCTGTCTAACGTATGTAACTTTGCCAGGGAAACTGTGGATTTTTAGCCTTTCTATTGGGGTTTAACTTGACATGAAGAATATATTTTCTCCCAGAGAGTCATCGTCACTAAGAAATGTCTGTAAACCACAAGCTGAGAATAATCTGTGTTTCTGCATTGAAAGGGAGCAACATGGCTGCCATTTTGGCAGAGGTCATACATGTTCTGTATGACCTCGGAGCAAGTAGCCTCACCAAATAAAGCAAATGGTCTGTTTGTTGATGTGTTCTTACCACATGAACACGTTACAGGGTAATAACTTTAAAAGAAGAAATCTTTTTTTCTCAGTCATTTTAGTTCTATGGGGTTTTTTATGTAGTGTTCACCCCAGACATTAGTTAAAACCTAATTAATCAGCACATACAAAGAAATGAAAACAAATAAGTCCACACATAATATGTGATACTATGAGTTCTTCTCATGAGTTCCACCTAATGTATCCTGAATGGATTAAAGTCACGTAATGAACTATTATTGCAGCTTTATCTTCTTTTGAATGGAATTGAGAGTTTCCTTGGTTGTGAGGCAGTTGGCTTACTGATAAAACATCCCTTTTTTAGAGTTTACATTCCTTAATTTATCTTTAATTTAGTTATACTTCAGTGCCACATGGATGAAGTCAGCCGCACACCTTCATGATCGTACTTTTAAACCTCACTGTTAGTATGGTGTTTATTACATATGTGCAGTGGCATTTATTGTTGAAATATCCAGGAACATTTATTTGGGCATTAGCAATCTGAGAAAACTGGTCTAATATTGTATTTGCTTGTTGGTGTGTTGCACTGAAAACTTTAAATAAGTCTCAACAAGCTATTTCTTCAGTGGTGCAGGGTGGTACAGTGGCTTTGCACAGAGAAATTGAAATAAAAACAGAATCACACAAAACACCTGTAGGACATTCCCTTTGTAAGTGTGTAATCCTTTACACATTTACATTGTTTTCTTTGTATGTGCAATTTTCATTGGTTTTAACTGATAGACAATGAGAATCTCATCAATACATCATTTAGCATAATCCCAGAGAAAATATTACTGTTACAGTATGTAAGTGTTTCCCAAACTAAACAGATATATTTGTTACAATATTGATACAATTGTTTTTTTTGGTTATTTTTTTTAAATAGATCCCTGCACCGGTTCTCTGTTTCAGTGTATTTGTTGCATCCAGGGTAACATATTGGTGTGCCTTCTCAGTGTTTTACGTTACAGTACCAGTTTACGAAGCACAAAGGGCTATAAGAGGGAGAGCTGCTTTCAGCTGCATTCATGTCGTATAGGGAAGCATCCAAAGACCTCTTTGTGAAATGCACCTGCTTTAAAGGTACAGGGATTGTCTCCCGTGTAATCCACTCTGAGAGGTGCCAACCAACCCGCAAAGTTCCACCCAGAACATTCTAACTGTGAAGCCACAATGCTGCCCTTGGCACTGTGCAGCAGGAATAATGGAAGCAGCTGTATGATTACAGCTGCTTTTAACATACTAGTCACAGTTTAACTTTAGCTGAAACTTTAGGTATGTGAAACTGCAAACAGAATAAGATGGCATTCCCTGCTTTTGATATTAGCAGAAACAGAGCACTTGCTATTATTGCCACATTTGAATGTACTGCGGAGAAAGACATATCATCCATCACATTTTCTGCAAACTTCTCTTTTCCCTCTGTATGCCTAAACTTAGCAATGACTGATGTTCTTTTTAGAGTAAGCATGTTGAATGTAAATTATTGCTTTACATGGTAACAGACAAATGATGTAGGTTAACAGATCCCATATGACATGAATGCAGGCTATTTTCAGTGTTTACAACATTAGAATTTATGAACTTGATCAGATTGAACATGTGACCGAAGCGGAAGATTTTGCATTACTGCTGCTGTGACTTTATTTTTGTTGAAACAATGACTTTTGTTTCCAGACTTTTTTTAAATATAAATGAGGACTGCATTTTGCAAAGAAAATTGTTTGTATCAGTTCACAGATAATATATTTATTTCAGCCTAATCGACAGAGGACCACCAAGCCGTTGAGGTGGATGTTTTACAATCCAAGGACTGTGATTTTTGTTTTCATCGTAGCTTTGATCCCTTATGTTCTTCACATATGGTGTTAAGAAGAATGAAGCCGCAGCTGCTTATGTTGCCGAATTCGGTGGAAGGAATCAAGAATAAATAAAGAAGAAATTGTCACCATGGGAACAGTACTACCTGATAATAGGAATGTAAATAAGGGCACTTGATGGAAAGGAACATCATTTTGGGATGAAACAGGCCACTCTTTGCTGTGGATCAGGAGCGGAAATTAGTTTAAATATTATGCACTTTTGCATCTCTCCTGTTCTTCAGTGTGATGCTTGAAATGACCAAGAAAAAATACCTCTCTGCATTGCATCAAGGTGTCAGAATACTGTCCAAAAACTGATGCAATAGGATGGATTCTAGGAGTTTATGGTCTATTTGTGGTATTAAAACTGTTAATATTTTTCTACACAGTTCCATATAAAGACTGGAAGAGCTGGATTTTTCTGACGTGTCATTTCTTTTATGTAGCAGTATTTTTGTTCAGTATTTTATTGCCTTTTGTATGAAGACAATTTTTGCTTGTATACCAAAGAACTAAGTTTTTAATTTCATGTTTAATTTTTTTATAAGAGAAAAAGTATGTGCTGTATTTTCAACTGTTCCAACAGTTACTTATATATCTGACCAAACAATGTGAAATTATGAGCTGGGAGGGGAAGGTTTTCTTTTTGCAATAACAGTGCTAAAAAATGCAATTTGTTGGAATAAGTTATTTCTTTTATTTGTATTTGAATAGACAAGCATCATATTTATTTAAGATCATTCTGTGGTTTATAAAGAAATCTTTAGAATATTGTCAAATATCAAATCGTCAGAGTACATTTCTACACTGCAAGAATAAAATTTGTATTTTCAGTTTTGTTAGGTAATTTACTCATTGAAATAACTATTGGTTTCCTGCATTATTAGAAATCAGTTGAAGCTACAATTATCCATAAAGGCAAGCAGACTGATCAGTTTTTCATTCATTTAATCCCAGAATAAATGTGATTATTTTCTAATTTTGTCCTTCTTTTTTTCTGAAAGTGCCTTATGAAGAAATTATATATAAAAGAAATTACCTGGTTTCAAGGGTTGTGTTTTTATTTTAAGTCATAATAAAACTGACATTCCAAAAGAATTCTGTGTGTCTTGCATAATTATTGGTGGTGTTACACTAAACAATTTTCTTTTGTTACAAATAGAATAGTTTTATTGACTTTTTAATTTCTATGGGAGGAATTTAGCAGCTTTATTCTCATTTTGTAAATCCTATTAAAGATGTGTAAAAAAAATGTTAAATTTAACCACTAATGTAGTGATATATTATCAAACAAAAAAGTTTTAATTTAAGAAGATGTAATCAATAAGAAAAGAAATTAGCCCTTAAAATTCACTGTAAACTGTGTATTGTAGACTTATATGTTATATACTTTATGAGACTGACCTGAATGTCAAGAAACATTTAGTAATCTTTAACTGGAGTCACAAAGTTAAACTAGAAAGCTTCTAAAAAAAAAAGGGTATGACGGGTGAGAGGATGTTGCAATAGGATAAAAACATTACAAAAACAATATTTGCTGGGTTTTTTTTTTAAACCAAAACACTTCATATCATAGAAAAAATTCTTGAAAAAGTTTATGTAAAAAAAAATCCTGAAATAATAAGTCACAATAAGCCTTTGATTTCAGAAAGAAAGTCAGTACCTGGTAGTTTAACACTACAAGACCCTGGGACTGTGATTCAGCGAATGTGATGAAATGCAAATTTCTCTTTGTTTAGGAATGAAGAAAAAAAAAAAAAAAAAAAAAACTGAACTGACCATTTATAATGTACATTATCAAACCTGAGTTATCCAGGGCCAAAAACCTGCAACTTTTAGATGTGTCTGCAACGATTGAAAATATCACACCGTTTATGTCTGCTTAAAGCTGACAGAAAACAGGAAGCTGGGCTATGACAATAGAAATACCGGAGACACAATTCACTTTTAAGATATTTATTTATGTTAGAAACATTTTTACTAATAATTGAAACTTCTGCAATCAGATATATAATCATTAATAACAAATAACTCAAATGATTTATTACTCTGGCTTTGTCTCCCAACTTGTTTCAAGCTACTGAGCCTGATTTTTTTTTCTCGTTGCACAAAATAAGCATTGTTTTTAATTTTCCCTTAAATTCTTTCTTCAATCGTCGCCCTTAAGTTGTTCTTCTCTAAAATAAGAATTTGTCATGCATGCAAAAAAGAATATCAAATGTTGGCTTAGCTGCAGCTATACTTTCTTCTCAGTGCGTCAGCATTCGGTCCCATCACTGCTCTGACTCTGCCAAACACATTACAGCACTGCTCAGCGTTGCTGCTAGCATCATAATGGCTCCCTACAGGCAAACTGTCTCCAGCAGCTGAGTAACTCTTACCTTGCTGCTAACTCTCAGCTGGATGCCACTTTCATCAGGTTACAGACGCAGCACCACAGGCATCTAAATGTAACTACCCGAATACTATAACTCTGAATAACAACTCTGTCTGCCATGCTGGATGACGTATAGTTCAGTTAGTTTCACAGCTCTCCACCACAGACAGAACTTTTTGCATGAAATGGAAAACAAGCCTTAGAAAGTTAAAGTCCTTGGCTAAAAGTTAAAGATGTTTGATTTGATTTTTAATTAAAAAAAAGAAACAAAATGTTCAAGTCTTCAGTTTAAATTGCAGGAAGTGGGATGTGCTTTCTCTAAACTTCCACAATAATTTATTTAATGTAAGGTGACAAGAGGAAATAGGTTTTTCTTTATAGGGCAAATAACACCAACATGTAAAATACAAAGTTGCAGTTACATTACTGTGTTAAAATCCTAGAAGAAAAAGTTAAATATTGAAAGGTTTTGTTTGCAGCTGAAGGTCTATTTTTCATATACAAATTGTGCAAAGTGTTACAAATCAGTAATGCAAGCATGTCCAAAGTCGGTCCTCGAGGGCCACTGTTCTGCAGGTTTTAGAGGTTTCCCTGCTTGGGCACAGCTGCTTTTTCATTGACAGCTAATTAACAGGATTTTGCTGAATTACAATAATCAGAATCAGCTGTGCTGAAGTCAAGAAACATAGAAAACCCACCGGACAGCAGCCCTCGAGGACTGACTTGGACATGCCTGCAGTAATAAGTAGTAGCTGCAGTAGGCAGCTGTCTGAGGCGAAATAGAGGAAAGGTCTCAAAGATGAGTCATGGTAACAGCCACTTAGAGTGGAGCCATCATTAAGCAAAGTGAAATACTCTTTGAATCAAAACAGATTTATAGAGTTTTCAAAGTACAAATCAGGATAAGCGATCTGCATTTGCATAAAACGGTTCATTCTGGATTTTACAATTATGCATTTTGCTTCGTTTTTTTTGTGCACCTTCTATACATTTATTATTTTTGGCTGCAGCAAATTCGCTCCTCTGGGGACAATGAAGTAAAACTTATCTCAGTCCAATGAAAATTGTGATGTTATATTAGTGAAATTTGGACTTTAAACACTTTTGATATGATTTCTTTTGACGAACCAAAGAAATATTAATTGAATTTAGATTTCCATAGAAAGTGTAGGTTTGAATCAAAAGGCAGACAGAGGGATATCAGACAGTAGTATCTTGCAAAGTTTCATCCCAGAAATATATTATGCCCTTAGTTCTTTTGAGACAACTGCATGAAGTCATTTACTGGCATACTGACAGAGTAGGGTGAGTTGTTATAGTTATTTCCAAAGACAGAGTTGCACAACACAGATTTGCCAAAAGCAAAAGAATTGTGAAACACAAGCCACACATGAGAGAATATTTTAATATATATTTTTGAGAGTCGATTTTGATATGTTTAAGGTGTAAAAAGCTAGAAATTTTCTGTCATCATCCCCTCAATCACTGTTGCCCTGAATTGGAGAAAACGATGCTAAAAACATGGATGAATACATGAAGGTTTTCTTTGGTGTTTGCTGTATTAGCGGTGCAACAAATTGATAGCTATATCTATTTTCTTTGATATATGGAACAATTTAGACCAGAATAAAAAATAAACCAGTTGATTTAAGTTAATGATGATTAAGAAGAAAAAAAAATGTATTATTGCCCTCTGGAGAAATTCAGCTCTGCATTTGACCCATCCCCTTGGGGAGCAGTTGGAGTTGGCTGCATTGTGTGGCGGCCAGGGAGCAGTGTGAGGTTAAGGGTCTTGCTTAGGGACCCAGAGTGGCAGTCTGCAGCAGTGGGGCTTAAACTCAGAACCTCTGGGAGCCAAGCGCAATGTCCTAACCACTAAATCACCACTCGCCCAGAGAGAAATTCACTTCTGCATCATAACCCATTCCCTTGGGGAGCGGTGGGCTGTCACAGTGCGGTGCCCTGGGGAGCAAAAAGGGGTTAAGGGTCTTGCTGAGGGTTCTTGATTCTCCTGCAATCTCCATTTTGATCTAACATAAATGGTGCAAAACACTTGTATTTAAATCTTTCCAAATTCAGCTTTTCACTTCGCTGTCAATTTTGCTACAAATGCCAGGCTGAAGTAGAGCAAAAATGATCTGTGACTTGTGGGTAGTACACACAGCTAAACAGCAGAGGACACTTTCTTCCATCTACAGGCACCATACAGGAAATCCTATATTTGGCACACTGCCATGTTTTCTACCAAGGACAAGATGGTGTCATGATCTATATTATAATTTGCATGTTTTAAAGTATTTATGCTGGATAGACTTTACTTGCTTTTTGACTCATGGTGTGTTCACGCAGAACAAGAAACCTGCAAAGAATTCACCATTTTATTTGCTTCTGCTCACCTGGCAATTTGCCTGGCAAACAAAAGTTCACTGCATACATAATCAAATAAATATCTCAATAAATAATGGTGGGACTCATGGTAAGATCTCAGGAGTTCAGAAAGCATTTTGTACCATTGTGGTTCCCTCATTGTCCCCAGCCATTATTAGGAAGTTAGCCAGCTTATTCAACTCAGGCTGTTTTGATGCCTGTTATAAAATGAAAATACCAATATTTAGAGACGATGATGTAATGTTATAAATTATGGTTGTTTAACCCACTCTATAGTTGTCAGGAATCCAGTTTGTGTGGTCTGTTTTGTGTCTGTCTCTCCCTCCACCACCAGGTGGTGCCCTGTCATTGTTGGTCCTACCGGCACACCTGCGACTCTTTGGATCATTATCTGGAGGAGTACTTAAGCAGTGGTCTGTCACTACCTCGACGCCAGACTGTTTGCCAGTTTTGGGTACTTTAGCCATGCTTAGATTATCAGAGCATAAACTGAGTCTTTGTCTCTCTGAGTCTAACCTTGTTTTTTTTGTCTTTGCCTTTGGCAGGAAGTCCTCCTGCATACTGGATGTTTGGCCTTCTTTCCCTGGAAGGATTGTTTACCGAGTTCTCACTGAGCAGGGGAGAAACCTCCACATGTGCTGTTGGATTGTTTACTGAGTTCACACTGAGCAGGGGAGAAACCTCCACATGTGCCTTTCAAGTGCCTCAAGGAAATCCAAGTGACAGTCCGCTCCAGTGCTCCTTCGGGTCCAAAGAATGTCTACCTGTCCATCCTTCAACATGTTCCCTCTTCTCTGATCAACCCACACAGACTGGATGTTAGTGAGAGAAGAACCCCCCCAACGTGAGTCCCTCACTAGCATTTTCCCTACAGCATTCAAGATTCCCACGGTTCCTGAACTAACCTTTGTGACATCCCCTCCAGACATCCAAGTTCCTGTTCACCAGCTACCTGAGTTCCAGATCACACTTCCCTTGTACCCTCATTCCAATAAACCTGTTAAACCTTTTCCTGGTTCTCTGAGTGGTTCTCTGCATCTTTGGGTCAGACCTTTAAAACACATCATGACAATAGTAAGCTGCTAATTATGTGTAGAGTTGGTCAAGTTTGTTTTGGTTTCTTGCCTGTCCTGGTTATCTGCTTCCTTGCAATGTTACCTTGCCAAATGAGGGTTCCACAATCAAGTCCCAGCCTGAGGTATTTATGCAACATAAGCAACATGTTAGTATTACAACTACAATTAGAAGTAACATCAGTCATATTTTAACCTCTTTTATA